TTGTTTACTTGATAGGGGGTCTATCCAGATTTACTATTTCTTGAGCCAATTTTGATAATTTGTGTCTTCCTAGGTTTGTTGATTTCATAGAACTTGTCTAACTTCTTGGCATTGAGTTGTTCATAATATTCCTTTACGATTCTTTTAATTAAACCTGTAGGGTCTATAATGATGTCCCCTCTTTTATTCCTGATACTGGTGATGTGTTTTTTTCTTGGACAATTTGCTGATCTTTTCAAAGAACTAACTTTAGGCTCCATTGATCTTCTCTAATGTTTTTGTTTTCCGTTTCATAGACTTCTACCTGATTCTCTTGTACCTTAAGTTGAAACTCAAGTTACTTAGGTTAGATCTTCTTCCTTTCTAATACAAGCATTTAAAGCTATAAACTTCCCTCTAAGCACTGCTCTACTTGCATGCTATATTTTCATTCAGTTCAAGATATCTTCTTATGTTCCTTGTGATGTTTATATCTCTGATCCACAGGTTAGTTTGAATTGTGTTTAATTTCCAAATATTTGTTTTATTCTCAGACTTTTTTCCTGTTCTTCATTTCTAATTTAATTCTGCTCTGGTCAGAGAACACCCTTTGTCTAATTGCAACCCTTTAAAATGTATTGGAACTTGTTTCTTTTTTTTTTTTTTGTCTTTTTCGTGACCGGTAAGGGGATCACAACCCTTGGTGTGGTGTCACCAGCACCGCGCTCAGCCACTGAGCGCACCGGCCATTCCTATATAGGATCTGAACCCGCGGCGGGAGCGTCGCTGCGCTCCCAGCGCAGCACTCTCCCGAGTGCGCCACGGGGCCAGCCTGGAACTTGTTTCATGCCCTAGTGTAGGGTATATTCTGGAAAACGGTCCATGTGCACTCGAATGTATATTCTGCTACTTTGGAGTGGTGTCTATATTTTTCAGATAAGTCAATTTGGTTAACAGTGTTCTTCAAGTCTTCTATCTTCTTACTAGTTTTTTCTCTAGTCATTTGGTCAATTAGTGAGAGTGAAGTATAGACTACCCAAACCATAAGAGCTGAGTTAATCTTTCTTCCTGTCAGTTTTGCCTCATGTATTTTGGGGCTCTCTTTTTTTGGTGTGTATTCACTAATAATTGTATCTTCCTGATATATTGATCCTTTTACCATCATAAAATGCCCCTTTGTCTCCAGTAATAATTCTTATCTTAAAACCTATTTTTTGGGAAAGGGGGAGGGGGAGAGGGGATAAGGGAGGAATTGGTAAAGGGCCACGAAGAACAATTACATTGTATATCGTTGAATATACTAAGTATCCTGCTTGAACATCACATATTGCAGGAAGATACTGATATTTAACTCTGTACCCCACAGATGTGTATAATCAACTATATTACAATATTAAAAAACAAAACCAAAAACAAAATCCATTTTGTCTGATGTGAGTAATAGCGATTCCAGTTCTCTTCTGGTTACTGTTTGCTTGATTTATCTTTTTGTATAAATTTTCTTTCAACCTATTTGTGCCTTTGAATCTAAAGTGTATCTCTTATAGATAGCACACAGGTGTGCACTTTCTTTTATACCAGTCTGACAATCTCTGCTTTTTGATTATTGCATTGTTTGTCCACATTTAGTGTTATTATTTATGTAATCTGATTTACAGCTGCTATTTTGCTCCTTATTGTCTTTTTTCCTCTATTATTCTTTTACTGCCTTCTTTTGTGTTTAACAAATGCTTTTCAATGTAACTTTTTAAATCCTCTTAATTTTTTAGCTGTATTTTGGAGCTATGTTTGTGTGGTTGCTCTAAACAAGTCTAATTTAGTCAATAGTAGCTCAATCCTAGTGCAATCGAGTGCTTCTGCTCAAGTACAGCTTTCCTTCCTCTCTCCTCCTTTGCACTTACTGTCACTGACACTACACCTATTTATGTTACAACCTGAACAATAGTGTTGACTGTTTCTTTACAAAACATGAAGTTGAAGGAACAAAGAGAAAACAAAAAAAATTTTTTTTTGTCTTTTTTGTGACTGGTAAGGGGATCGCAACCCTTGGTGTGGTGTCGCCCAGTGAGCGCACCGGCCAGTCCTATATAGTATCTGAACCAGCGGCGGGAGCGTCGCTGCACTCCCAGTGCCGCACTTTCCCGAGTGCGCCACGGGGCCGGCCCGAAAAAAAAATTAAAAAATACAGTCTCTGATACTCACCCACCCATTTACCATTTCTGACACTCTTCATTCCTTCCCGTGGATTTAAGTTACTATGAGATGTTATTTGCCTTCTGCCTAAGTGCCTTTCTTTAGCATTTCTTGTAGGACAGGTCTGTTAGCGAAGAATTCTGGTTTTGCTACTCTGTGAATATTTTTGTCATTTTTAACTATAATTCCAATGGATATAGAATTCCTGGTTGACATTTTTTAAAGCACTTTGCATATGACCATATCTGGGAGAATTTTAGCAGGGAATACAACCCATTGAACAAAACAGGAATCCATATTGTTACAAATTAATAAATGTATAAATACATAAATTAAGTAAAGGGGAAAGCTCTTCTTTACAGTAGAATGCCAACTCATATGGGTAGAAGGAACTGTAGAAATAGAAAAATCACTATGAGGCAGTCATCAGTGGTGGCTGACTGTGGGAGGGCCAGTGTCCTGGGGAGGAAAAGAGTGCTAGAGACATCTCAGACTCTCTCTCCATAAGAGACTCACCTATTACAGGGGAAGTGGGGACTGCAGTGGAGTAACAAAGATGCCAGTGCCTCAATGGACCGAGGTTACCATCCCCATGGAGGGACCAGGTGACCAAGGTTAAGGTCTCTATGGAGGGAACAGACTGCAGTTAAGGTCCCCACGGAGGGACAAGATGACCAAGATTGAGGTCCCCAGGGAGGGATCAGGTGACCGAGGTTAACGTCCCCACAGAGGGAACACAAGACCGAGGTTAAGGTTCCCGTGGAGGGACCAGGTGGCCGAGGTTAAGGTCCCCACAGAGGAACCAGGTGATTGAGGTTAGCATCACTGTGGTGAAATGGGTCGACTTCCCGTGCCTTGAGGTGGTGCACAGGGAAGAGCAGCACCATTTCCGGGCTTTCCTGCTGCAAGAGCATGGTCTGGTCTCATAAAGAAACACCAGACAATGTAGGTGTGGGTCATTCTTCAGATTTAAGGTCTATATTCTTTAAAACTGTTGAGGACAAGAAGTGGGAATTTCGAGGGGATGTTCCTGCCTGGAGGAGACTGAAGAGACATTATAACTAGATGTAGCTCATCTTTACACAGGATTCTGAACTAGAGAAGACAGACAGACTGTTGTGAGGGCTGATGGGATGGCAGAGCTGTGTCCATGTGGACACCCAGCCTGAGCTACGGGTGGTTTTATTGAAGAGTGTTCTTGTGTTTGGGGGAGTTAGGGCACCACGTCTGTAACATACTCTCAGTGTTAGTTAATGGAGTGTTTCAAAGAAATGCTGACGATAACAGAGCAAAGTCAGCAAGATGTTAATAGTTGGGAAATCTGGGTGAGGGAGACATGGGAGTTATTTATACTGTTCTTAACAATTTATCTGTGTGTTAAAATAAATTATTCAAAAAATAAATTGGATACTCATCTTACAATATACCTCAAGATAAACTCCTAAGAATTTGGAAAAAGGTAAACATTAAAAATTAGAGAATTCTGCTCTGCAAAAGACAAATGTCAAGAGAATGGGAAGACAAAACAGACTTCCCTGAGGAAATATTTGCAAAAGAGACATCTGATAAAGGACTATTATCCAAAATATACACAGTAAAATTCAACAATAAGAAAAGAAACGACTCAATTAAAAAACTGGCCTTAACAGACACCTCACTAAAGAAGACAGAGAAATGGCAAATAAGCACATGAAAAGATGCTCCACATCGCATGTCATCTGTAAAATGCAAACTGAATCAAGGAGCCACCACTACACAGCTATTAGAATGGCCAAAATCCAGAGCACCAACAACCCAAAGTGCTGACGGGGACGTGGAGCAGCAGAAACTCACTCACTGCTGGTGGGAGTGCTGCATGCTGCAGCCACTGTGAATGAAAGTTTGGCAGTTTCTTTCAAATCTAAACACACTCTTACCATCCAACCCAGCAGTTGTGCTCCTTGGTATTTACCCAAGAGTTGAAAACTTACGTCCACACAAAAAGCTGCACTCAGACATCTACAGCAGCTTTATTCCTAACTGCCAAAACTTGCAAGCAACCAAGACGTCCTTCAGTAAGTGAACAGATAGATAAACTAATGGTACATCCCCCTGGCCTTCCAGAAACGCATGCTAAGGGGAGAACCCAGGGAGGACAGATGTCTGTGCACAAACATGGCAAACCCTGGAGACATGCACACTTGCCAGGGAACAGCAAGGTAGGCACAGTCAATCACTGAGGGGGCAGAGAGCAGCCCTGAGAAGTGGCCCTGTAGGAAAGCCTCAGAGATGGCCCGCACAGTCTGATGTGTGTGCAATGCACATGCCCCCCACACAGGTGGATCTGCACTTGCACAGGGAGCACGTGGAACGAGGCCAGAGGCCCTGGAGTTACCTCTGCCTAGTGAGGAGGCAAATATGGAGCTTCAGGAGTAGTACGGGGGACAGTGAAGAGAGCCTGGGTGTAGAGGACCAGGGCCAGGAGGGGAAGGAGCCTGATCCAGCAGCGTGGGGGTATGCGGCACTCACTATGGAAAAGGACCAGTGATCCAATGCCAATTACCAGTTAGCAGACCCGGTGACACAACTTTTGTTTAAAACCAAGACGAGATAGAATGCAACAGGACCATTTCCCTTCTGTGAGTGGTTAAACGGTAATCACCAGAGCTTCTCCTCGGAAGGATTCGACAGCTGCACCACTCTGGTAGACGTGTAGATTCCATGCTGGCTTGGTTGAAGGACAACACACACCTGGGTAAGTTCTGACAGCTGTGACTAAACATGACCTTTCAGGAAATACATTTTAATGTCTATCAATTTGAGGAAAGGTTACAAGAACTTTTACTTACCCATGCGTCCATCTTGGGGTGGACTAATCAAAGAGATTCTTGTAGGGCCAGTGGCTATCTCAGGCTAAGTACACAAAAAGAAAACAACTGATAAAAAATTGTCATTTGTGAGATTCAGAACCTGTCCATTGAGAACATACTTCCAGAGCTCTGTCTCCTTAGTCGTCATCACCCCCTGACAAAATCCTGTGACTTGGCTCTGGGTTCACCTCTGGCCTCTGCCTCTGGAAAACTGCCCCAGGCCAACAGGTGGAGGCCTTACCTGTTTCACTCTCTCTGTCCCATCTCTCTGTCCCACCAGGGCCTACAACAGTGAATAAATAAAGAACTCCACTGAGTGTTTCAAAGAACTTCAGAAGTAAAAAAAGTTCATGGCTGATGTCAGATGATGCAAAACCCTAATCCTCATCATGGGTGCATAATTCTGTCACCATGAAATCCGGATGGATGGGGCGGAGCCAACACTGCACAGAGCAGCACGTGCCCTTCCTGACACTCAACAGCAGCGCGGCAGGTGCTGTCCCCGCCCCTGCTTGCCAGGTTTTGAAGCTGGTAACAAGGCTGCTTCTCTCCACCAAGTGGGCACAGGCACGGGCAGGAACCACCTCTCGCTGCCGTCCTTCCCTGACATCATTCCTCAGGCTCTCTGCCTACTGCTGGCATCTCTGTTCCTGGGGCCCCTTGCATCACCCCGTCAGCCTCTAGACTCTGCTGTCACCAACGGGGTGCCCCCGTTGACCTCGGCTCCCAACTCCCCAGCCCCATCCCCTAGCATGCCCACCCTCTAGGTCCTCTAATCTGCAGGCACTTCCAGTCCACCATGGAACTCATGTCCTTGTGGCCTCTCCACCAGCTTAGGGGAAGCCCCCGCTCAGGGGCACCCTCTGCGACACCCGTGATGTGTCCCCTGCTCCTGCTCAATGACAAGACTCTAACCTTGGAAGAACCAGTCCCTTTACTTGATCCCCGACATGGGCAGCTGACACAGACCTATCTTCTGGAGGCTGCTTGGAGGTGCACTGGGATTTCAGGTGTTGGCAGCTGCATTTAGACTTCAACAGTCAACTCCAGACCAGGCCAAGAGCATATTCTTATGGTGACTGACAAGCAGTTGGGCCCACCGCTTGCAGAGAGCAGGACCAGATTCGGCCGAGATGGTTCTGGGAATAACCCTAGGAAGCCATGAGGCCTGGGGTGTCCTGAGTGTCGCTGCCATTCTGGTGAGTGTGCCTTGGAGAGTGGAGGCCTTCATGTGGAAAGCTAGGAGTTCACGGGAAAAACAAGAGCAGACACCCCACATGGCTTCAGCTCAGCACAAACCAAGAGCAGCAACAGGTGGCTTTCAAAACCTTTCTCCCCAAGGCGCCCTTCCAAATGCCTCCTGATCCCTGGGGCTCCACTTCACCCCAACACCTACTCGGTGTGTGTAACCAGGACACAGAGGGGGCTTGGATCACAGGACACAGTCAAAGTGCATCCTTCTCTCTCTCTCCATTTACTATTCAGTGGAGATTTTTCCTGTCAGAAAATAAAGATTCTGGTGAGACCCAGGGCTTTCCTGACACCAGAAAAGAGTGAAAGATCCTGTGGGGGATGTGCCTTCCCGAGACCTGGGGCAGTCTTACAGCTGTCCATGGCTATGGTGGACACTGCAGGTGGTACAGACGCTGCTCCTGGCCCAAGGAGAAGCCTTGCATCCATCTGTGCATCCTTTCCCATGTTCCTGGCTGCTGTGCGTTTTTGTGGTCTTTGGATTCTCCTTTGAACAGGTTTTCATATTTCACTGTCTTCTCTCATTGATTCATGAATCAAATAAAGTATGTGACTGGTGGAGTTCACTTCATATTTGTGAGTCACAATTTCACCTTCTGATAAAGATCTGTCAACAACTGTCAACTGTACGTAGTAGAAAGTCCTATGCTCATGTAAGGCAAAAGCCTTGACTTAGGGCCGAGCCCGTGGCACACTTGGGAGAGTGTGGCGCTGGGAGCGCAGCAGCACTCCCACCGCGGGTTCTGATCCTATATAGGGATGACCGGTGCGCTCACAGCGCTCACTGGCTGAGCGCGGTGTGGCCGGTCTCAAGAAGGACAAAAAAAAAAAGACCATTGTACTGTTCAGTCGTTCCCGCTGCCTGGGGATGATATGGCACATGTAACTTCCACTGAATAGACAACTGGGAGGCCCACCTCTGAACCCCATGTCCAGTAAAGTGGGTTCCATGTCACTCTCTATGACTATAGGACAGCCATACGTGGCCATGAGGCTATTCAATGCCTTCAAAAAAAAAAAAAAAAAAAAAAAAAAGCCTTGACTTAAAATCAGCTGACCTTGCCTGACATCTTCCTGGTGGGCCTGGGGCAGGTACATGGCTTCTGCCTTCAGCACCCAGCTCCCTCAGCACCAGCAGTTTGAGGACCACAAGAGATGAGGAGGAAGGAAAAGGAGAGCCCCTGGGACGAGTGCAGGCTGTGCTCCGGTGCTGGTCCTGATGTGGGGCATGCATCCCGCTGCTCTCACAGGTCCCTCTCAGGAGCCCCGGTGCTTGGCTGGTGGCACAGCTCTTTCTCTTTTCATCTGGCAGCTGAGCTTGTGCCTCTGCTCCTCCAGAGTCTGTCCCAGATTCTCCAGATTCCTGCACTTGAGGAACCCCCCTCTGAAGAGCCTCGGGGCAAGAGCCCCACCAAGATCCACACAGCCAGCACACCTCCCCAGGTGGGTGGTGGTCCAGGCCTTGAGAGAGATGTGCACACTGCAGAGGGCAAGAGCCCCTGCAGGCAACCTGAGTGGTCTCCCAGAATCTTGGCTCAGGCTTGCGGTTACCAGGAACATCCCTTACTCTACTCCATTACAGGGGGAATGCACAGCAGCAAAGCAGCTCTCTCCAGAGACACCTCTACACACAAGGGGTCTTCAAAAAGTTCACAGAAAGATTTGTATTATCTTTTAATTCTATTTTTTCACAAAGCTTTATTGTGCCCATGTACATCCACTCCAGGGATGACAAGGAGTTTCAGGAGGTAAAAAACTAGTTTTAGATACTTTCCTTGAAAACTTGCATTCTGGTGTAGCACAGGGGTTGGAAAACTCTGGCACAGCCTGTTTTTGCTCATATGGTTTTATGGAGACACAGCCACACCCACTCATTTCCACACTGTCTATCACAGCTTTTGTGATTCAACAGACTTGAGTACCTGCAATAAAGACTTTCTAGCCTGCAAAGTCCAAAACATTTACTCTCTGGCCCTTTATAGAGAACATTTGCCCACTTGTGGTCTAGCATCTCACTTTGGAATTTTAATTCACTGCATTCTGGCCCTTCAGCTGCAATTTCCAATGTGACTCCCAGAGGTGTCCAAGTCAGTTTAGCCAGTCGGTCTTTAGTATTCTCTACCCTAGCCCAGTTATCCAAATTCTAAGGAAAACTGAAGCTGGCCTGACAGAGAACCCTTCCTCACTAAGCCGTGGGTTCTTTCTGGGTAGCCAAGAGTCCATGCTGATCCCTGAAAGAAGGCCACGAGCAGACAGATGGAAGCAGGTATCCAGGCTCCAACAAGCTGAGGCCCACAGGGTGCCTTGCACTCAGGGTCAGCTTCCTCCAGGGCTTCTGGTTGAAGACTGGGGATCAAGGGGGACAGATGCCCAGGACAGGGAGCAGATGCACCCAGGAGGAAGGGCATCTCACCTGGAGATGCAGAGTGGATGGAAGATGCTGGGGGCTGCAGGGCAGGGAGCGGAGCTCATTCTCACACTGCCTACCAAGGAACTGGGTTCCTTCTCCACTGAAGCTGTGATGGCTCTTCAATCCCGATGAAATAAAGTTCCTCCATATCCTAGAACTGAGGTTCCTCCATAATCTGGCTCCAGGTGATTCCCTTGGAAATGAGCATTACTTCCCACTAACACATCTACCAACAATGTCCACCTCACAGGGCACTAGGAAGATGGTTGGTGTCTATCAAGTGCTGAGAACAGTGTCTGCAAACGAGCAGCGCTGTTGACTGCAAAGCAACGCATGCATTTCACAAGGAAATCGTTAGCACTCCTCACAGACATGCACCAAGTCAGTGCTCAACTGTCCCACCTCTACTCCCTCACACCCTCCCAGCCCTGGACACAGCTTGCCCTCCCCATACCCCTCACTCCCTTTTCTGAGCTGCCTGGTGTGCGGCTGACCCCACAACTGATGGGGGCCGGGCTTGCAGCTCTCCTGAGCTCTGGCTCTGCTCTTCTTTCTCTCCAATCTGAAGCTGTCACTTTTTATTGTTCAGCCCTTCACATTTCTGACCCACTTCCTCTCCCGGGTTGATGGGATTCTTGCCACTTCTCTAGAAGGCAGGTGAAGGCAGGGCCACCAGCCCCGCTGCCGCTTCTCCTTGACACGCATGGCGCCAGCACGAGACCAGCATGGGACCTGCGCTCTCCCACTTGCTTTCATTCCTCCAGGTACAGCTGTGGTCCTGGCCGTCCAGACAGAGCAGGAGGGTTCTTAACGGTCCTTCAGGACCTGGTTTATAACCATGACCCTAGTTGCTCCCCACTGGGGCCAGCACACAAGGAGGAGGCACTGTTACAGCTCGGTGTACTGTTAAGTGAACAGTTAAGTTTATGAGTGCTGAGAAAAGCTGGAAGTACCAAATATCTGGCAAACGGAAGACGAACAACAGGTGGGACAAATGTACTCACTCTTCTCGCCAGGAAAGCAGGAAGATCGACGTCCATTGACTCCACTCTGTTAAACACACAGTGAGATGCAGTAATGAGCCCAGGACTTACCTCTAAGTAAATGAGATCACCTTAAACACACATACATGTAGCAGGACCTCTTGTCCACATTATGAATGTCCAGACTTCTCTGTGGCTTCATGATGCTGTCAGAGCTTAGTCAATCACAGATCTGGCCACTGTCATTTCCCTGCCCACAGCTCTTTACTGGCTGCCCACTGTCTGCACACAGCACCTCCAGACAACTTGGAGTCTTTGCTGCCCCCTCTTGGCTCTGCTGGCTCCTACTTGAGGCCTGCTGGACTGAGACCTCCTGAGAGGGGAACGTCTCACCTGCTTTGTCAACACTCACTGCCTGGCCCATGCCTGTTATATCACCAACGCTCAACATGCTCCTTCCTGAGCCCAAAGGTTGACAGGGAAACACCATCTGGATTCATTCTGAGCTGGCCCTCCACCCCTAAAGCTAGTGATCTGACAGCTCCAGCAGGGGTCCCAGCCTGGGTGGAGTGAATTCTTATGGTCGTGTGCCCCTCGGCACCCATTCTGAAGATGTTTATCTTTCTTGCGCCAGAAGCAGGGCTCAGTTGCCCTTGACAGTTTCCAGCTCTCTGCCTCCCTCCATTTCCTCGATGTAGTCAACCCAGACACATGCCTCAGATACTGCTCCCCTGGTGACCATTTCCCCATGGGACAGCTAGATGCAGCGTACTGGACTCGCCCTGCTGACCTTCTCCCCTTGTGGGCTGTGCAGATATGCTGCAGTGACCACTTCTCAGTCCAGTGTGACCTTCCGGAACTCGAGCCTGCTTGCTCTAAACCCACCAATGAAAACTTCCTGCCCACCTCCCACCCCCCACTGCCCCAACACCTACAACCAGCCCAGCGACAACCACTGAACCACTGCAAGAAGCGCCCCAGGCTCCTGAGCTTGGAGGGAGAGGGATGAGGGCTTCAGCCACATCCCCCTGACATCTGCATCCAGCCCATCAATGACCAAGACACTGCTGGAAGCCGCCTGGTCTCCCTTGCAGGAATGAGGGGGGGCCCACAGGCCTCAACCCCACCCCTCCTCCTTCCACCCTATTTCCTTCCCCTCTCTTCCTCCCCTCAACTGTTCTGCAACAACATCATAGACTGTAAAAAATATATATATATTAATAAATAAACTTTAAAAAAAAAGAGGAAAACTCCCTGCAAAACACCTGTCTGAATAATGTCTTGGACCTCAATAAAGGTGTGGGCCCACAAGTCCCTCTCTCCCTCTCTGCCTGACTCTTCAATCCTGCTTCGTGTGATGGAGGATGGCTCTCCCAACTCATTGAGCCCTCCCTGCTCAGGATCCATAAGTGATAAACCTTTGAACTGTTTCCTGTCGTGGAGGTGAATTAAATCTGCACTTCCATCAGAAGGACCAGGGGCTGCCCCAGGCTGGGTTTTCCCCAGTGCAAGAGCAATGATCAGGCAGGCTTAACTGGACATGGGTCCAGTATAGAGAAGTTTCCCATGAGAGGAGTCCTGGTCATGGTCACACCACCAGGCGCTAGGCCGTCCCCAGGTAAGAGAAGTATCCTATGGAAGGCGTGCTGTCAACACCTGTGTCAAGCGCCCTTCACTTCCCGTTAGGGCGGGGCTGCCAGCCGCTCTGGTACTGGAACTCCAACTTAGCAGGAGGTTCTCCCACGACCATTCCCAAACCAGCCATAGGGATGGATTGCGCAGGCTGGGTGGTCAGGACCACACTCTTGATCTGGGGAGTGGAGCCTCACAGGGATGTGAGACATGTACCTAAGGGAGCTGGACACTGCAGACTGTCTAGTACAACCCTCCTTCCTCCTCCCATTGGGGATTGGCAGGATTTGGGGATTTGGAGGGAGTGAGATGGGAAGAGAAGTGCCAAAGTGTCCACAGGAAGGACATGTGGGTCCTGCGATCTTCTCAAACTCCTTCACCACTCCCAACTCACGCACCTGTCAGGGCCCACGGAGCTGAGCGGCTGCCATAGGCGTCCCCCTGGTTTTGCGGAAGGAGCTGAGACAGAAGACCGCATGTTAGTGCACTCGCGTGACGCGGCAGCATGCATCTTCACGCTCTTCCTAGAGTTATGCTACTTACTTGAAACTGAATGTCTTATTGTGCTGAAAGCTGCTTGTTGTGACGATCTCATACTAAACGGAGGGAGAAAAGGTATCAAATTAAACCACAAAAATTTACTTCCCACTAATTCATTCCAATTAAAAGTGTAAGAACGCTTTGAAAACAGCCAGATGTTCTTACGGGGCTTGCAAAAGGGCACTCCTTGTAAACTTGACAGTTCTCCAAAATGTCCCATTAGTCTGTACAGAACAGAATTAGTTCTACTGCCCTGTACCCCACCAAATGAACCCAACGCTCGTGACCATTTACATAACGGCCCCAGCATGTGCAAGTTTTACTGGACAGAAACCTACTGGCAGGTGTTAAACGTACGAAATCAGGACAGGACGAAAGGAGTTGTAACACACCAGTTTTTCAGGCCAGCAAGAAAAGTGTGGGCAAGTTATGTGGTGGTTTTTCCCAGTCTGTCAGTCAACCCCCTGGATCTGTCTCTATGACATCAGGGAGCAGAGACGGCGCTGCCTGAGGTCTGAAGCCTGCAACCCCAGCTCAGGACTGCTGCGTCCCATGACTGCCAATCAAAGAAGGCGGCTGCACCTCATGGGTCCTGGTGGAGACCTTGAGATGTGAGATGGAGTGGGTGGAGCATCTGTTCCTACAGACACACAGGACGTGCAGGAGACATGCAGGCAAGAAGGGCTGGTGTCTTTTCTGCACTGAGCACCTGCTACACTGGCCCACTGGGTGAGGAACTGGCATCTGACATACGGAGCAGGTCTGCCCTCAATAAGTCCAGTTTGGGGTCAAACTAGCTAAGAATAGGACAGCGATTCAGACACCTGAGACCCCCAGCACCGTCCCCCAGCGCCTTCTCTCCCAATAGCACATGGCCCTGCTTGACAGGTAAGTTCATCTTCTACCTCCCTCCCCCAAGCAGAAGTTCCCTGAGGACAGGCACTTGGCCTATCTGCCTCACTCTAAACTGCCAAAGTCTAGAACAGCGTGAAGAACACACAAGGTACTGGGTAAAGACCTTCTGCATGAGTAGCTGACCACAGTGGGCAAAAGCCCAAACCTTTTGCATCTGGCAGGGCTGTGGCCCAGACGCTGTGAGGGGTGCTCACTCCTGCTTCCAGATGCCTCTAAAGCACTGTCGTGTGCCAGTCTTGCAGGAAGTCAGCAGCACTGACACCACCAGGTGTGCTGCACTGCTGGACTGTCCTCAGGCAGGCACAGGCAGAGGATGGGCAGAAGTGGTCTTGGTGCATGAGCCCAGCAGGCAGAGCACACGGGAACCCTCCTAGAGGAAAGCACAGGCGACATCAGGTGTGCACAGGTTGAGACCAACCCTAGCGACTCCGCAAAGATCACTGATCACACCAGAAACACACTTCCTCAAGCCACAGCCAGAGGGTAAAGGCGGATTTGGATTCCTGAGGATTTCAGGACGAGAAAATAAAAAACTGCCCGTAAAATGCCTAAGTAAAAGATGGAAACACAATAATAAGCAAGCAACATGGCAGTAAAAATGAGCAGGAAAATTCTGGAAATGTTAATTAATATAGCAGTTAAATAAAAACTCAGTGGAGAAGTCAGGTGGCCATATCACTAAACAGAGAATCAGGGAGCTGGAAGAAACATCCCAGGCTGTCCAAGGGACCTAAGGAGACAGAGATCATAAAAGGTCAAGAGACAGGGAGGACAGCAGCAGCAGGCTGTGGAAGGGGATCGCGAGAGGCAATGTTTGAAAAGATAGTGGCTGGGAATCTCCCAGAATTAATGAAAAACATGAACCCACAGAAAGAAGCAAATTATACACCAACAAGAAAAAAATGAAATTAATTCCACACTTGGGTGCGTGTATGTATGTCTCTTCTCTTGTAATGCTGTAAAGCGGGGCTCTGTGAATGTGTTCTGCAAGGGCCAGCTGGCGAATGGACTCTGCTCTGCCACTGCACCACATTTCACAATCTTTTAAAAATGTAGAAGCCCTTCTCAGTTCAGGGGCTGCGTGAAATATACTGCAGGCTGGACTTGGCCTGGAGTCTGCTGACCCCTGGAATATACCTGTCACAAAACGAGCATGCAGCAACTCTTATAACCTAAAATAATGGCCACTGAAAGAGGCCCATTCCACCCCAAGGGAGGTGTAGTGGATTGAATTATGTCCCCCCCAAACTCTCTGAAGCTTGAATTGTGTCCCCCAAGTTTTATGTATTAGAAACTTGATCCCCACTGTGACTGTTAAGAGTGTGGGAAATCCCATTATGGTAATCAAAAGGTGGAGTCTTGAAGAAGTGATTGGATTGTAGGACCATGCAGTAGTGAATGAATTAAAAACGGTGGTCAAGGGCATGGTTCTGAGGGCTTTAAGAGAGAAGAGTGTGTATTTCTCTCTGCTTCCACCATCTTGCAATGTGAGACCCCTGGGTCACTGTCACCACCACCAGATGGACTTTGGCCTTCCTAGCCTCAGAAACTGTAAGCAATAAATTTCATTTTCTTTTCAATTACCAGTTTCAGGTATTTTGTTATAAACAATAGAAATGGACTAATACAGAAAACTGGTACCAGAGAAGTGGAGTGTTGCTTATAATAAATACTTGAAAATGTGGAAGCAGCTTTGGAACTGGGTGTTGAGGAAAGGCTGGAAGAATTTGGAGGAAAAGGTGAGAAAAAGCCTAGCTGCTGGTGGGAGTTTAGAAGATAAGAAAACCAGGGAAAGTTTGGAATGTTTTAGAGACTGGTTAAATGGTGGTGAGCAGAATGCTGGTAGACATATGGACTATAAAGGCCATTCTAAGGAGGTCTCAGATAGAAATGAATAGGGACTTATTGGAAACTGGGGCAAACATCACCCTTGCTGTGAACTGGCCAGGAACTTGGCTGCGTTGTGTCCATGCCCTAGGACTTTGTGACAGCTGGAACTTAGGAGTCGTGAACCAGAGTGTCTGACAGAAGAAATTTCTAAGCAGCAAAGCATTCAGGAAGCTGCATGGCTACTTGCAACAGCCTACGCTTTACATCATGCCTTTTATGGCTGAAAAGTCATGATATAAAGCTAGAATACATAATTAAAAGGGAAGCAGAAGGCAAAGAATTGGAAAACTTTCAGCCTGGCCACAAAAGCAAGGGTATAGTCCAGGGAATTTTTGCTAAGAAGATTAGTACAAAAGAAATGAATTATCAAGAGAAGGGGGGAAAGGCCCAGTAGGCACTGCAGAAGCCCCTGGGGCCAACCCTTCCATTTCAGGCCCAAAGACCTAGGGAGACAGAATGGTCTTGGGGAACAGGCCTGAGGCACCCTCCACAGGCTCACTGCCCAGGACCACCTTGGGATGCTTCTCCCCACATTGGCACCCCAGCTGCTCTGGCTTCTCCAGCTGTGGCTCAATTGGCCCCAGGTGTGGCTGGATGTGTAGCTTTGGAAAATAAAAGCCAGAAGCCTTGGCAGAGTCCACGTGGTGTTAGGTCTATAGGCTCGCAAAATGCCAGAGCTCTGAAGGCTTGGGAGCCTCCACCCCGATTTAAAAGGAATATGGAAAAGCCTGGGAGCCCAGGAAGAGCTCTGAAGCAGGGGCAGAGTCATCGCAGACAACCTTCACTAGAGCAATGCTGGGAAGAAACGCAGGGTCAGAGCTGCAGCAGAGAAACCCCATCAGCACCATACCTAGTGAAGCCGTGAGAGCCATGGAGACCCTGACCTGTGGAGCTAACAGCATACAGTGCCAGCCTGCAAGAGGTGCAGCATCACCTGGGACCACGAAAGCCACAGGAGTGGAGCTGCCTGAGGACTTGGGGACCCAACCCCCATCAGGGCCATGCCAAGTGGAGCTGTGGGAGTGGGACAGCCATGGAGACCCCAGACTTGTGCAGCTGCCAGAGTGGAACACCAGCCTGGGAGAGCTGAAGTGTGGCCTGAGACCAGGAAAGCCATAGGAGTGGAGCTGCCTGAGGACTTGGGGACCCAACCCCCACACCAGCGTGCAGAGGACATTGAACATGGAGTCAGGGTACATGATTCACCAGCTTTGAGACTGAATGCCTGCCCTGCTGGGTTTTGGACTTGTTTAGGACCTGTTACCCGTTTCTTTTGGCCTATTTCTCCCTTTTTGAGTGGGAATATGTACCTTATACTTGTCTCACCACTGTATCTTGGAAGCAGATAACTTGTATTGATTTCACAGATGGGACTTTGAACTTTGGACTTTTGAGTTAAAACAAGTTAAGACTTTGGGGATGAAATGAATGTATTTGCATGTGAAAGGACATGAGTTTTGGGGGCGCCAGGGGTGGAATATAGTGGATTGAATTATGTCCCCCCAAAACTCCCTGAAGCTTGAATTGTATCCTTCTGTTTTATGTATTAGAAACTTGGCCCCCACTGTGACTGTTAAGAGGGTGGGAAATCCTATTATGGGAATTGAAAGGTGGAACCTTGAGGAGGTGATTGGATTGTAGGACCGTGCAGTAGTGAATGGATTAAAAATGGTGGTCAGGGGCGTGGTTCAAGGGCTTTAGAAAGAGAGTGAATAAGGAGGTTAGTCTCTCTGCTCTCTCTGTTTCCACCATCTTGCAGTGTGAGACCCCTAGGTCACTGCTGCCACCACTGGATGGACTTTGGACTTCCCAGCCTCAGAAACTAAACAATACATTTTGTTTTCTTTCTAAATTACCCAGTTCCAGGTATTTTGTTATAGCAATACAAACAGACTAATACAGCAGGCAAAGCTAAGCCTTGTGCCAGGAACAGTCGCCAGCAGCCATAGCCTCCTCCTGGCCATGGCCCTGATGTGCCCTGCCACTTAGCCACCCAACACAACAGGGCCACAGGTGTCCACACACACACATGCTAGGTGCTCATCCTTGCACATGGAGCACCCACAGGCTGCTGGCTCCTCGATCTTCAGACTAGAGTGCAGCTTTAAGATGTCACTGAATACCAGATGCACTGTATCTATGTAATGAAGTGTTAATTGAACTGTGTATGGCACACTGTTGATGCCAAATTCCAGGCATATTAAATGCAAAAAAAAAAAAAAGTGCACTCAGCACAGATGCAATGTGGCAAAGGCACCGATCAGCGAGAATGGACAAGAGGGGAGGGCTGTGAGTGGCGGCTCTTTCCAGGTACTGAAATGTAATACTTTGGGTCACCATTTTTGGTTAATTTCGGCAACTGTGGAAGTGTCTTCCTGAAATGTGCTGCCTACTCACCAGGGTGTCTTTATAAACAGAACATGCCACATACACGTGTATTTACCTTTCACAAGTGGCTGCGATTCCTGCAGAGAGGAATCACCAGCTGCAGGGGTCCCGCTGGCCCTGGCTGCCCTGTGGTGGCTCTTAGAGGCTCTTCCCAGGTGCCTCCCGCAGTCCCAGCCTCCCTGAGGGGAGCCACTCATCTCTCATCCACCCTCTTTTCTGCCTCCTTTCTCTTCCCTTCAGCTTTCCCACAGCATTTTTTGCTTTGACAGAAGTTTCCAGTAAATGAAAGTGCTCCTTCCTCTGCTCCCTGGGCTACCAACAAAGTTACGTCTACAACAACCTCCCTCTCTCTATCTTGGAGCCAAACACACAGTAGGGCTGCCTCACCTGCATGCACACGCAGGGCCTTACCTCTGCAGCTCTTCCATCTGCAGCCTCGATGTCCTAAGAGACTCTTCCAACGTGGAGATCTAAACATAATCAAATGACTTCTAGTTATCAGACAGAGTATGCCCAGCAACAGTCTGAAGATGTCCCCCTGACCCTCTAAGTTTCTTAAACTATAAATCAGAATGTGAGTTACTGGGCCGGCCCGGTGGCACACTGGAGAGTGCGCCGCTTGGGAGCGCGGCGGCGCTCCCGCCGAGGGTTCGGATCCCATGTGGAGACCGGTTCCCGCTCACTGGCTGAGCGCGGTGCGGGCGCAACACTGAGGGTTGTGATCCAGTTGCCGGTTCCCGGTGCGGGCGCAACACCAAGGGTTGCGATCCCGTTACCGGTCAGTAAAAAAGACAAAAAGGAAAAAAAAAAAAAAAAAAAAAAAAGAATGTGAGTTACTCAGCATGAAGTTGCCCCCACGCTACTTGCAAGTGAATATGCATCAGGTCCAGTTCGTCAGGTCCTAAGGACATGGCGTTGGGGGCATGAGTGCAGCGCTAAGCCAGGCAGCCCAAGAGACGAGCTTCTGCCCAGTATCCTCTGCACACTGGCTCACTGAGATAGGCAAGCAGAAGCCCAACATGCCAGCTGCTCGCCAGAGTACTCTGGCCTCCAGGTCTATGACACAATCACCTTATGTGCTAGGCAAGTTCAAAAGCAGTCTCTGCCATGACATCAGGGTCAGGCCCTGGCCCTGCCACTTGGCAGCTGCAAGACCTTGAGGTAGCAATTTAATTCTCCAGTCCTATGGTCATGTCTGTAAAAGGTGGTTAACATTACCTATCCTTTAGATTTGCTGTGAGGATAGAGAAGATAACGGACACAAAATGCTTAGCCAAGGCTAGGCACGTGACAAGAAGCCTCCAGGTAGGATTCTGGGGGCAGCTTCTGGGGAGTCAGATGGGGCTGTGGTGGGCCAGGGAGTGGAAGGACAAGACAGAGGGGCAGGGCCAGGCCAGAGCCGGGGCAGGGCCAGGCCAGGGCCAGGACGATGCGCCCCTTCCAGACCTGGCTGTGTGCAGAAACCAAGCACCCTCACAACCCCCGTGCTCATGCAGAGAAGAGGCAGCAGGGCCTCGATGGCCTCCACACTTGAGCAAGGCCCGGGGTCCATGGCTTTAAAGCCAGGCTTCTTTACTCACTTCACAACCTTCAAAGTTTTTTCAAAAGGACTTTCATTAAAAAAAAACAACACGATTGAGTAGAGAAGCCTCTAGGCTGCCTCCCACACCTCAGAGGCTCTGACGCTACTCCTGGTGCTGAGAAGGGGGAGGGTGCCCACCCCAGGGGCTACTGACAGGTGCTGGGTACACAGGCTGATGGTCAGAAGGGGACAGTGACATGTCCCCATAGCTGGAGAAGCAAAGAGAAACAGATCTTGCATCTGGCTGGTCAACCCTTTAAGAACATGGTGTTAGATAACAAGTCTGACATTTAAATTAAAAGGTCAAAAACTTCAAGAGACAATAATTCAATTCAATTTACCTTTTCTCTATAGAAGGCTAACAATCTCTTCCTGTGTTTTTCTTGAAATTCTGAAATCTGAGAAGATAACACATTTCAGTGGCTGACACTGGCCAGTGGCTGCTATTGTACGACACTGTCACGGGGCAGCAGAGCCTGGAAGGAGCTTTAAATACAGGCCACAGCGAGCTCTGTTTTATGTGCTATTTCCCCAACAGACACTTGTCTCCTCCCCCTAGATGTGGATTCTGCCAGGCCAGGGGCTGCTGGCTGCCACCTACAGCCAGCACTGCCCAGAGTACGGATGTGGAGGAGTGAACAAATGCCAGCAACAAACAGCCACACACCAGCACAGGCGCAGCTCAGCTTGCTCCATGGGAAGGTCCCGGGTGACCTCTCCTGTCTGAGCTATTTCAGTGGCACTCTCCTCCTGGTGATAGGGTGGGACGCTGGCCCACGCTGGGCCAACCACAGCGTGCTGACCCTTTGACAACGGGGACTGGTTCCAGGAATGGCCTCCTGACCAAACAGTGCCTATGAGAGAACATCCTGAAACTGATATGTGGATGGGGTGGGTGGGTGGAAAGAGACCAGGGGAGCTAGACGAGGGCCTGGTGGCCTGTCAGAACTGCCAAAACCAGCTACACCTGAAGCCAGCAGCCCCCTGGTCTTTCCATTTACACGAGCCCCAAAGTCCATGTTTGCTGCATACACAGCCGGAACTAAGTTTCTGAGAGTGCAAACATAAGCGAGAAACAGTTGTCTGTGGTTTACTCAGGGGAAGAGCGACTTCCCACAAGCAGTTTCCAGACAATGGCGCCTGCCCTCTGGAGTGCTGCACTGTTGTTGCTGCAGCCAACACTTTCTTCTACTTGCTGCATGGCTGAGACAACAGGGCTGACGTGGGTTAAACTGGCATTTAGAGTCAGCACCCCATAAAGACATCACTCACTTCACCCCATCCTCGCAATCTCCTGTCATAACACAAACATGAGAGAACAGCCTGCACCTTCTGCATGGCTCCCTGGTCCAGTGCAAACAGGGAGAAAATTCCACTGTGGAAAGGAACCTTGCCCAGCGACAGCCCTTCAGGCCCCTCCTCCATGACGTGAGCCGTCTGCAGTCGATGGCCATGCTAGGACCCCTACTCCAGGTCAGGAGGGACAGCATCCTCTTCAGTCTCCTGAGCTCCCGGATGCTGCATTTTTGGAGAGATTCAGAGCTCTGAGTCTCCTGAGGAGAGCTCTCTGCTTCACGAGACAAGAGATTCGTGTCTCAGCTAAGGGGGGATGACAACCCCAGGTGTTGCCCACATAGACTATGAAGAGGGTGGCAGAGGGGCTCCTGAGGCTCACAAGGATCCCTGAGCACTTTGCAGGCCACGTCCCAGAGCACCTTCCCTGACTGAGTCCAGAGTCCTCTGGTGCTGCTGCCTGCTCAGGTGAATGCTCACACTTCCTCCATGGCCAGTGCAAGGGCACCTGTGTCATGGCGCTTCTCTGAGGCACAGTCTGTGGGAACCACCACACCCCTGCAGGGCAGGGAGCCTCTGCTCCTCTGGCTCCACGCACTCCTGTGAGGACTTGGTAAGCTCACCTGTGTGATCTGTGATATGGTGGATGTGCCTTTTCTTCCCTTTCCATCTCAGACACATGCAGGGCAGGCAAGGCAGGGCCATCCGAGCTCTAGAGCTCAGACAGGCTGGTGGAGATGGGAAGTTTAGGCAGCAGCTTGATAACCATGTTCTCCAGCTGCCCTTAGCAAGGAGTGGACTGACAGCCGGCCTGTCTCCACTGTCCTATTGCTCAACAGGTTCCACATCTGAGGCAGGAAGAGAGGAACATTATGCACAGACCCCTAAACCACACTATCTTCACGCAGGCTGGAATTCCAAGGAACAGAAAGTACTAGCATGTGGGGAGCACATGTCCACGCCAGTGTCAGCATGTGGGCTCCCGATTGTGTGGGCGCTGGGCCCGCAGAGGCCTGTCGAGAGGGAGGTGGCTCTTCCTTTGTGGGCTACTTTCAGATAAAGACCATGGTGAGAGGCAGCACACAGGCCTCTGTGGCTCACTCTGCCCCACCCCAGGCAGATACTGACTTGGCAAGGCATGTGTGGCTGTGGTAGGGACTGGGCCACAGGGAAGCATCCCTAAACCCTGCAAAAGCTTAGCAAGAGGAGGAAATGGGCTATTCTGTGAAGCCTGCAGGTGGGCATTTGAACTGCAGAAGGGACTAGCCCCAGAGTGAAGACACTTGTGAGCTGGGGGTAGCCTAGACCCACTAGTCCACATGTCGCTGTGTCTGTACTGGGTCGGGGGACCAGCCTCCGAGACTCCACTGGAGGTGGTCTATGCTCCAGGCCTGTGATCTCACTGCGGTGTTGGGACCCTGAGACTTGAGACGCTGTCTGTGGCAAACACCACAACAAGAACTAAGCAGAAGTTTGCAGCCTGGTGGGCAGAAGGTGACCATCAGAAGAGCACCAAGAAGAAAACTGCCGCCCTGAATCCAGGTGGGCAGGGGAGCTTCCAGCTGAGGTTCTAGGGTATGTCCACTGTGAATACTGGGGGCATCCTGCCCAAAGGACCCCAGAGCTGAACTGAGATCACTTGTGTCTCAATGTGGCACCAAAAGCACCACCAGCAGCAACCAAACAGATCACATGAATTTTGTCAAAATTAAAAGCTTTTGTGCTGCAAATGTTTCGAGAAACAAACGAAAAGAACACCCCGCAAAAGGCAGAAAATACTTGCTGCTCACACACGTGAAGAGACTTGCCTCCAGAAAATATAACACATGAGATCGTGTCCCCAGGTCTCCCCAGAGCCAAGCCACACTCACCTGGGAGGTTTCTCTGGAGTACTTCTTACACAGATCATCTATGCCCATAAAGAATGCCTGAATCTCTGAGCTTGTCTGAAAGAGAAAGAAAATGACTCTACATTTATTGCTTCTAAGAAACGCTGCTGGCCACGAGGTAGAAAATTGTACTTCAAGGTCTAGGATGAACCGCAGATGAAAGAAACAGCCAATGGGGTAGGGGTGGGGGGGCATCAGCAGGGGGCCAAACGTCCTGGCTGCCTGGGCAGTCATGGCAGGAGAGGGCCACATGTCCTTGTTTGTAAGGCAAGAAGACAGGTCCCTATGTAGAAGGGCTCTTGGCAGGGGTTAAAGGGTGCCTGAGGGAAGTCCCCGGGCACAGGCCACGCACAAAGAGCAGCGAGCATAAGTGCAGCCACAGACCCTTACTGAGTGATTTAAAAAGCAAGCATAAGGGACTTAGGAAAGAACAAGGGTTTAAGGAATGGCATTTGCCTACTTAGAGTCAGTCCCTAATGCAGACGCTCCTGACTTTCTTCCAGAAGGCCTGCAACATGCCTTGCTCCCCCTCCCCCTACCAGGACCATGCTAGACCAAGTATCAGGGTGACAGCCATCCTGGGCATGAACCTGGGAGGAGTTGCTGTTGCCAGACACAGAACGGCATGGCATGCATAATGTGCCGGATGAGGGCACACACCAGACCAAAAAACGTGGGAAGAACCTCGGTCCTCCCTCCTCCATCCTCTGGCTCAGAAGGGAGAGTGTTTACAAGGGTCTAGATTGTCACCTGAGGCAACCACTTCCCTACCTGCTCTCCCCAAATCCCACTGAAATGACAGTGAAATTAGTCAGGAGAAAATACTGAATTAGCGCAGAAAATAGGAAATGGTGCCTTGAGTACTCCAGACCCTTTGAGGAATTCTAGAAGACAGAGCACAGACAGGCTCCAGTCAGTGCACCAGCCACAATGAGCAGGCTGGGCACAGAGGAGATGGCTCTGAACTCATTCCACAGTCACTTCAGGCCTCTGAGGGCAGAGGCCAGGCAGCACCATAGAGGTGAGATCCTCCTAGCGAGCGGCTTGGACCCAGCAGAGGGGAGACCATGCTCTGGCCAGGATGTGGGGAGTTCCTGCACCCACCCACCCCTCCCCCATACCAAACTGCAAAGGCACAGGCAGCATGCCCCACAGGACAGGACAGGAGCTCAGAGTCCAGCCTGAGTCCCACTCTGCACACACTCGGCCTGCGACCCTGGCTTATCAGTTGTGAGACACCTAACCACTCTGTGCCTCAGTCTCCCCATGTGTAAAACAGGAGCAGAAACAGGCCAGGCCGTGCTGAGTACCAGGAGACACCATGTGGGAACAGTGCACCACACAGTCTCGACCATGCTAGGCCTCAGTGAGCACCCGTGGTCACAGTTATCTAAAGATACAAACACAAAGAAGCATGCAGAACAAGACACACAGCTCCATGGACCAGTAACAGGAACACTCAAGAAGCTGTCACAGCTCTATCTGGCCCCTCAGCCTTCTAGGTGAGGGGGCCCCAGAATGGAACAGGAGGTAAGCGTGGAGATAGAACAGCCACAGAGTTGCCAAAATCAACAAATGCCATCATGGTACAGACTCACAATCCCAGGGAAGCCCGAGCAGGAGAACTATACAGATGACCACGGTCACACACACACAAATGTCTGACTGCAGAAAAGCAAAGATAGATAAACAAGGGAGGGACATTTTTTTGTTTTGGCAGCTGGCCAGTATAGGGATCCAATCCACTGAGCAACTAGACAGCCTGTGATATTTTCAAAATGCTAAAAAGCATTAATTTTCAACAAAGAATTCTAAACCCAGTGAAAATATACTTCAAAAATAAAGACAAAAAAAGAGGGGGATGATTTTCGAACAAACGAAACTAAGAGAACTTGTCAGCAACAGATGCAAACTTGAAGAAATAATAAAAGGAATTCCTTGAAGGTAGGAAAAGGGATCCCTGGCAGGAGCATAGGGACTCAGGAGGAAACGAGAGCAAGAGAGGGGGGACCTATGGGGACCTCACTGAACATGAGCTGCTGCCACAGGACTGGGCTGCAGGGTCAGCGTGCAGCAAGAGTCAACACTCAGAGGAGTACCTGGGAGAGGGCAGGAGGAAGGGAGATGACATGAAAGCATTCCGAGGTCTGCATCGTCAGGAAACTCTAATCACACCAGACTTTAAAAAGTCAAGATTGCCTGCTGTAATCTCCAGGATAACCATAAACTAATGTTTTCTGATCTGGGAACTAGTTATGATCATGATAAATTCACTGAACTATATATACTTATAATTTGTGTACTTGCCAATGTGTATTAGTCCATTTTCTGTTACTTATAACAGAAGACCTGATACTGGGTAATTCAAAAGAAACAAAATTTATTTCTTACAGTTTTGGAGGCTGGGAAGTCCATAGTCCAGGGGGCACATCTGGTGAGGGCCACCTTCTTGGTGGGGACATGTGCAGACTCCCATGGTGACACAGGGTGTCACGTGGCAAGAAAATGGCAAGAGCTCTCCCACGTGCTCACCTGCTCTCCTTACGAAGCCCCAAGTGTCCCTCCTGTGACAGCCCACTCAACCATTCACTAGAGCATGAGTCAATTCACTCATAAGAGTATGGTTCTCAGGATCCAATCACCTCTTTAAGGCCCTGCCTTTCAGATACCATAGTCACATTTCCCACCTTAACACTGCTACAATGGGTATCAAACTTCGATGAGTTCTGAGGAGACATTCAATTCACAGGACTTATATTCCAATAAAATTGATAGAAATGATAACTAAAAATTCCCAAGTATTTAGAAATTAATCAATATACTTCTAGATAACACTTGGGTCATAGGAGAAACTGAGGAGAAATTTCAAAAACTGAGAGATAATGAAAATATAATACAGCCAAATATATATAATGCAGGCAAAGATGAACAGAGGGAAAGTTATAATCCTATAATGTAAACATTAGAAAGGAAAGGTTGAAAATTGATGCTCAGCACCCATCTTAGATAACAAATTAAATACAAAGGAAAAAGGAAATGATAAAAAGAATAAAATAGAAAACAAATATAAAATGGAGAAGATAAAAGAGCCAAAAATTTTTATTTTGAAAATACCAATAAAAATCAATAAACACAGCAAGACTGGTCAAGAAAAAAAGAGAACCTGAACAATAACCACTATTAAAATGAAAAAGGGGGGCCGAGCCCGTGGCGCACTCGGGAGAGCACGGCGCTGGGAGCGCAGCAGTGCTCCCTCCACGGGTTTGGATCCTATATAGGGATGACTGGTGCGCTCACAGCACTCACTGGCTGAGCACGGTGCGGCTGGTCTCAAAAAGGACAAAAAAAAAAAAAAAAAAAGAAAAGAAAAGAAAAAGGGGCATCATTACAGAACTTACAAACATTAAAAATACAAGACGATTATAAACAAGTTGATGACAAAAAATCTAAAAATTTAGATGAAGTTCCTAGAAAAAGACAACTTACTTAAATGGATCTGAGAAGAATTAGAAACACTAAAAAGTATATACCAAATAAAGAAATTAAAAAAAGGAAAAAAAAAAAAAAAAAAAAAAGAAAAGAAAAGAAAAAGGGGCATCATTACAGAACTTACAAACATTAAAAATACAAGACGATTATAAACAAGTTGATGACAAAAAATCTAAAAATTTAGATGAAGTTCCTAGAAAAAGACAACTTACTTAAATGGATCTGAGAAGAATTAGAAACACTAAAAAGTATATACCAAATAAAGAAATTAAATCCCTAGTTAAATAACTTCCCTTGAAAAAACCTTCAAGGTCCAAATTGTCACTCCTGAATTCTACTGAATGTTTGAAGAAATAACTCCAATCTTACAAAAATTTTTCCAGAAAAGAGAAAGAAAATAATTTCCAACTCCTTTTATGAGGCCAGAATAACCCCGATTTACAAAACCTTTGTTATAAAAAAGGAAAACTACAGGTCCAGCTCTCACGTGATCACAGGTGCAAAACAAGAGCTGAATACATGGATATAGGTGAGCTGTGCTGCATTGCCGTGAAGTTGTGTTTATTCCTGGAACCTAAGGTGGGTTTAGAGTTTTAAAAATAAAAGCAACTCACCACATTAACAAAATAAGGTAGAAAAGTTAGATGATAATCTCAATATCTATAGAAAAAAGCATTAATAAAATTCAACACCATTCATGATTTTAGAAAACCCTTAGCAAATATAATTAGTGCACACACACAGTTAGTGGTGAAATCCTGAAAGCTTGATGCTAATGCCAGGAAACAGGCATGGCATGTGCTGTCATCAGCATTTCTACCCTGCACTGTACTGGAGATTCCGGCCAACACAGTAAAGACAGAAAACGGCATACAGATTAGAAAAGGAGACATAAAACAGTCTTATTCAAAAATGACATGATTGTGTAAGTAATATTCTAGAAGACTCTACACATAAACCAATAAAATTATCAAGTACATTTAGCAAGGTTGCTAGTGTAAAGAAAACTAACTGCACTTTAATATGCTAGAAATAAACACTTGAGACGATATTTTAAAAAACTACCCCAAATCATCAAATTCCTAAGAATAATGTTAACAGTGATGCATAAGGCCTCTCAAAAGAAAACTATAAAGTGTTACCGAGAGAAATTAGAGAATATCTAAATGAACGGAGGTATGTGCCATGTTCACAGAAGAGTCAATATCACACAGATATCAATTTTCCCTAAATTGTATTATCAATCAAGTGCAAAATAAAAATCACAATAGGATTTTGTGTCACTGGAAATTAACAAATTGATTCCAAAATTTACATGGGCATGTAAAGACCAATGCAGGCCAACTGGTGTATCTGACAACCTCTATGTCTCGGGGGCTCTTGTGGGGGATATTTGTTTCTTGGCCTGCTCAGTAGGTGACCGGCAGCTCTGCCCTCAGGGCCCTCCATGTAGCATCAGCCTGCAAAGGGGCAGGAGGGTGGAGGGCTGCGCAAGAGGCTATTTTCATGGGTCAGACCTGGAAGTGGCCTTCACTGCTCCCACTCACATTCTATCACAGGAGGGCAGG